GGGCTGAGGCTGTAAGTATGGCTTGTTATTTAATTAACAGATCACCACGTGCATCTGTGGATGGCAAAGTTGCAGAAGAAGTATGGACAGGTAATGATGTTAGTTTTGATCATTTGAAGATTTTTGGTTGTCCTTGACCGCGCGTCGCAACGCGGCAAATTTAAATTTATAAAAGTTTCCTCAACTAACCTCTACTAACTAGTAGTAGCGGTGAGTAAGGGTCGATCCCACGAGGAGCAGGAACTAAGTCGTGACAATTTTCGTATTAATTGAACTAAACTAAGAAAGCAGTAAAATGGGGGGTTTGGTTTTATAAAAATAATAAAAGAAAATAAAATAAAAATCAAATAAATGAGAGAAATCCAGTTTTCGGTTCAGTTATCACCCAAATCTCAATCTACCGTTAATCAATTTCGACGCCTTCTTTAAATTGCTAATGAATTACCGACCCTAGTTAAGAACAAGCTCTGTTAACCGAATTTTCCCTTACTGAATATTTAATCGAAATAGGCTCTTCGACTAAACCTAACTAGTGGACAACCTAGAATAAGCTCTCTAGATTTAATACACTAGCAGCATTAATCTCTAGGAAAATAGATCAGTCTAAGCAATGGACGCGTAAGCTCGGACCATTTAACTTATGTTCACGCTACCCTAAGGATGCACGACCCCTAGTTTACTACTAACGAAACAAGACGATAACAATTACCGATTAAGATCCTGAATCTAGCAATTAAACTATGAACATTTAACGTAGTTGGCCAAACTAAATCAAACATCATAATTCATAAACATTAAACACAGATAACGTGAATCAACTCATCAACAAAATAAATACGGTCGTCTAGATTAATCCACGATAAATAAAGATCCTTCAATTTATAGACAAATCGAAGTTAGGGTTCAAACATCCCCTAAAACTGGATAAAAATCCTATTCTAACATAGTAATAAAAATAAATAAAAGCTAGATAAAAGAGAGAAGATAAATATCTCCCTCGTGTGCGGGTGCGGCTTCCCTCCGCGTGTGTAGGCTTCTTCCCCGATCCGTGCGTTCTCTCCCTTTTTCCGTTTCTGCTCCCATTTTGTTGCGTGCGGCTCAGAAAAATAAGTCCAAAAGTCCCTATTGATCAAACTCCTCCAAATAGCTTCATGCTGCTGCGTGTGTTTTGCTGCCTTGGGAAAATAATTCCCTTCTAGCAATTCCAAATTTTTAGATAAATCCTAATGAAGTTGGACTTTTCAACCAATTAAAGCTAATTGGTCAAAATTATTTGTCCATGCATTCCTGTGAACCACAAGTCATGAGCTGCAGCAAATTGGGCCCAACTTTAAAGTTCTAACTGCGGGTCAAATTAACGGGTATCAGACGTCTCGATAATTGATTACGTGAACTTTTGACCAATGCTTTGCGTCCATAAAATACTCCAATATTCTGAAAATAAACATAAAAATATCATAGCACTTAATTCTATCCAAATAATAAATAGGTAAAAAAATATAAACGTGCATATAAATTAGTGTATAAGAATACACCATTAACTATATAAAATAAGCACATTTTTCGACCTATCAAATCTCCCCAAACTTAAATCGTTGCTTGTCCCCAAGCAACTTAGAACTAAAATCACATAGATGGATATAAACAAGTACGTGGAATATTCGCTCAGGTCCTCACACATCT